CTGACGGGGCTCCTCCTGTCGTCGGGGTCGGCGGCGCTCACGGACCCGACGGCCGTGTTCCGGTGGGCGTCCTCCTTCACCTCCAGGACGTAGTGCGCTCGCTCGAACACCGGCGCCTCGTCCACGTCCTCCACCACCACCTTCACCGTCGCCTCGTCCGCGAAGGGCCCCGCCGCCGCCGCCCGGGGCCCCGCCTGCACGTTCTCCACCTGGACCCGCAGGCTGTACTGACGCTTACGCTCGAAGTCCAGCGGCTGCAGGAAAAAACACAAAGAAATAAAGGTGTTAGGGTTAGAGTTTCCAAAATGCCTCAATTCTGTGCATTAAGTGTGTGTTTTTTTCATGTACTGAAAGTGGGGTCAAACCGTGTGTCATTCATTAGTTTTTCAAAATAAAACCAAAAATAAGAAAAAAAAAAAAAACGCTTTATTATTTGTCTCTCAAACCAAAATGAAAAACAGATAATGATTCATTTTTTTTCAAATTTTTCGATGAGAAAAAAACAAAACAAATAATGACAGTTTCCCGTTTCCCAGACTTAAACTGTGATGTCGGACTTTTGTGCTACATATGGACTAAACCAGGACTAAACGAGGACTAAACCAGGACTAAACAAGGACTAAAACAGGACTAAATTGGTATCAGTCCCACTCTGGTCCCAGTCTGGTCTCGCTCTCAGTCCTGATCACCTGACAGTCTATGCAGGTGCACCTCCGGGCCTGTCCCCACACTCAGCACTGGTTTGGTTTAGACCCTGGTTTAGTCCTGGTTTATAGTCCTGGTTTCAGTCCTGGTTTAGTCCTGGTTTAGTCTGGTTAGTTAGGTTTGATTTAGTTCCTCCTGATTCAGTCCTGGGTTCAGTTCTGGTTCAGTCCCACCTGGTTTAGACCTGGTTTTAGTCCTGGTTTAGACCTGGTTAAGTCCTAGTTTAGTCCTGGTTTTAGTCCTGGTTTAGACCTGGTTAAGTCCTAGTTTAGTCCTGGTTTAGTCCTGTTTAGTCCTGGTTTAGTCCTGGTTTTAGTCCTGGTTTAGTCCTGGTTTAGACCTGGTTTAGTCCTGGTTTAGTCCTGGTTTAGACCTGGTTAGTCCTAGTTTAGTCCTGTTAGTTTTAGTCCTGGTTTAGACCTGGTTTAGTTTAGTCCTAGTCCTTTTAGTCCTGGTTTAGACCTGGTTTAAGTCCTGGTTTAGTCCTGGTTTAGTCCTGGTTTTCCTGGTTTAGTCCTGGTTTAGACCTGGTTTAGTCCTGGTTTAGACCTGGTTTAGTCCTGGTTTAGTCCTGGTTTAGACCTGGTTTAGTCCTGGTTTAGACCTGGTTTAGACCTGGTTTAGACCTGGTTTAGTCCTCTCGGTTTAGTCCTGGTTCAGTTCTGGTTTAAATCTGAATTTTTGACGCGGGTTAAAACCTGTGTATCTTCCCACATCTTTCCTGGTCTCTTTGAAACGGCGACTGGACGGGGCTGAAACGCCTTGACAGATTTGAGGGTCGGGGTCACGTTTTCCATTTTCCATCGTCTTCCTTCACTCGGGAAAACGATGTAGTGATCCATCATCCCGTGTCGGCGTCCGCGTCCTCTCCTCCGCTCGTCCCGTCTTTCGCTCTTTCGCTTTTGTTTTGGGGTGAAATGAGAAGATCGGCGTTTCAGATTAGCCCAGTGTCCGACGCCAATAAACACGCCAGAGTCCACGATCCCGGACGCGTTCAGTCTCCCGCTGTTTTCAGACTTGGTTATTTTTCCTCTGTGTGTGTGTGTGTGGAAACTAAAGCTGCACTGTGGAACTTTTCTGGTGGAGAATACGTCAGATGTTCGCCTCCAAAATAAAAAAAACAAAACAAAACTGGGACATTCCCGATTTTGTCAAACAGGGAGTTAAATTTTATTCCCGCTAAAGCAGGTCTGAATCAGGTTTGGACCAGAACTAAACCAGAACTAAACCAGGGCTAATCCAGGACTAAACCGAATGAAAACAGGTCTAGACCAGGACTAAACCAGGACTGAACCAGGTCTAAACCAGGTCTAAACCAGGACTAAACCAGACTAAACCAGGACTAAACCAGGACTCTAAACCAGGACTAAACCAGGACTAAACCAGGACTAAACCAGGACTGAAACCAGGACTAAACCAGGACTAAACCAGGACTAAACCAGGACTGAACCAGGACTAAACCAGGACTAAACCAGGACTAAACCAGGACTAAACCAGGACTAAAACCAGGACTAAACCAGGACTAAACCAGGACTAAACCAGGACTAAAACAGGTCTAAACTAGGAGGTCTAAACCAGGTCTAAACCAGGACTAAAACCAGGACTAAACCAGGACTAAACCAGGACTGAACCAGGACTAAACCAGGACTAAACCAGGACTAAACCAGGACTGAACCAGGACTAAACCAAGATGAAAAGAGGACTAAATTCAGGATTAAATCAGGACTAAACCAAGACTAAACCAGGTCTAAACCAGATCTGAACCAGGTCTAAGCCAGGTCTAAACTAGGATTAAACCAGGTCTAAACCAGGTCTAAAGCAGGTCTAAAACCAGGACTAAACCAGGACTGAACCAGGACTAAACCAGGACTGAATCAGACCTAAACCAAGATGAAAAGAGGACTAAATTCAGGATTAAATCAGGACTAAACCAGGTCTGAACCAGGTCTAAACAGGTCTAAACTAAGATTAAACCAGGTCTAAACCAGGTCTAAAGCAGACTAAACCAGGTCTAAACCAGGTCTAAGACAGGTCTAAACTAGGATTAAACCAGGTCTAAACCAGGACTAAACCAGGATGAAAATAGGTCAGTCTTCGGGAAAATATCTAATCTGAGGACCTGTTTACACGAGGTAAAAACATCAAAATATTTGATGGGAAGTGTCTTTCGTTTAGACGGTGACGGCGTTTTTGGGTCATAAAAACGCAAAAATCTGAACCCACCCTCCAGATTGGAAAAGTTAAACACGCTCCGCCGTAGCGTTTCCGTCTACACTGCCCAAGACGCAAAACTCTGGTAAAATCTGCTCAGGTCATGTACACGTTTACAGCACATACATACAGTACGCAGAAACAAGTACGCAGATTTCCTCCCGAAAAACGCTCGTCTAAACCCGGAATAAAAAGTGAAGACGCGACGAAACTTCTACGTCTTCTGCTCAGACCGTTATCATGTAAACGTAGACTCAAACGGAGGCTGCATGGGCCTTTGTGCTTCATTCGTTTCGTCATTTATCTGCGGAGAACGCCGTACATGACATGTCGGAATAACGATACTAAAACGTGTGGGAAAACCGGCATGTCCAGATAGAGGCATGTCCTCGCCTCAGACAGAGCAGTGCCGACATTTAGCAGCTGCAAAGTATTTAACTATATATGTGATAATTATGGGCCAACGGTTTCTTTGTTTTGTTTTGTTTTTTTGCCAATTTTGTAACCATAATCATTAAAATTCATTTATGATAATACGTTTTATTTTCCCACATCTGCCTCCTCTACCCCAGACACTAACCACCGTTGATTTTCTTATTATCATCCACCAAACGCTTCGCTTTATTCTCGCCTTAAAAGAAACGCCGGCTAACTGTTGGCTAGCGACGCGGATCCGGCGGCCCTTTCATATGTACGGTGGCGGCGCCGCGTGATCCGGTGTACGCGGCGTCATTAAAATGCAACGCGCCCCAATTATTTCCATCAACACGGAGACACCTTCAGAGTCCGCATTTACAAATATATACGAGTTCTGAAGGAAAACATTAAAGTCCCACTGTCCAACCTACGCTTAAACGCATCGCGACGCGGATCAGGCAGGCTAATACCCACGGAAATGTACAGAAAACATAGGGAAGAAATGAAAGGGCTTTTAGCGGTGAAAAGGTCTCAGGGTGATTATGAAAGCTCTGGTGTTGAAAAATGTGGGATTAAAAAAAACACACACACACAAATAAAATCGACACAATTTAAAGGCAGATCTGTGGAAAGGCGTCCCCACTCACAGCCAGAATGTATGTTTGAAATTTTAGCAATAAAACAAAACAAAAAAGCAATAATAAAAGTGAGACGAAGGCTACGTTCAGTCTGCAGCCTGAAGTGACCCAAATCTGGGATGTTCTGGATGTTGTGGATGTTGTGGATGTTCTGGATGTTCTGTCTCACAGCTCGTTTGGAGAGACCAGTGAGCAGAACATTACAGTATCTAACCTACTGGAGACAAACGCATGGATAAGTTTCTCCAAGTCTGATTTAGACAGTAAACCTTTGATTTTTGAGATGTTTTTAGATGGTAAAAGGCTGCAGATGTTATTGATTTGATGTGGCTGTTAAAGTTCAAGTCTGAGTCCATTATTACCCCGAGATTTCTTGCCTGATTTGAAGGTTTTAGAGAGAGAGACTGGAGGTGATGCTGACACTGTCTCTTTGTAGACAGAAGCACGGAAGAAGGAAAATGTCTTTGTCGTATTCCTAGCAAACCATAGACTCCAACAAGTTCAACAACACATCCAGACTCTTGGAGGTTTTCATCTTTTCTGCTGTGAATGGCCCAGGAGTTTCCACCAAGTCATTGTGGATTTCGCCCAAGTGAATATTTGTCCAGGTAGTTGGAGATTCTGACCAGAAATTTGGTTTGTTCCACCTTTTGTCGGGGTTGAAAAGGGTGATTTGTCGTCCGTCGATGCTTATGACCAATTTCTGGTCAAATGGTCTTGGGTCGTCTGCCGTTAGAGTGGATAAATAACCGGGATCAATACCCTTTACGTGCTTTCTCGCTCCGTCCGTCATGTTGAATTAGTGTTAATTCCCGGCAGGCAACGCGCGCTTTTGTCAACAATGAAACTCGCCCATACAAGCCCTGTGTGTGCGCTGACGTCATACGAGGAAAACAGCGAATAAACTCCAACACCGAAGCACACGGTGAATCGCCTTTAACTTCAACGAGGACTGTGGACAGAGACAGAAGTGTTGCAGCCTCGTCTCTTCCGCCTGTCCTCACTTTTCCTTCTGTCCTCACTTCTCCGCTCTGTTTTTACATCCATAAACTCTCGGAGGAGCGTATCGCAGCAGAACTCTGTCTCACATCTGTCTCACTGGAAAAGATATTTCTGCCGCTGGACTTATTTTCTCCGCTGAATCGTTCGCTCTGCTGCAACGTGTAAACAAACAGCGCCGCGCGATGACGTCTTCGGTCGCGGTTCGGTTCGGTTCTGCAGGTGAGAGCGCGGAACATAGAACCAACAGACACGAGCTTGAACATGACACGGTTCTAAAGTCC